AAGAAAGAAAGAAAAGAAACTTATCAGTCTTAAATTCAGTTAAAAGAAAAAAAAAGATATTAGTAAAAGCTCCCTCCCTTAAAAAAAAAAAAAAGGTAGACAGTGGGATTTCTATTTCAGACAAGGTCTTACTATGTAGCCCAGGCTGGCTTTGAACTCAGGATCCTCCTGCCTCAGCCTCCTGAATGCTGGGATTATAGACATGTACCACCATGCCTGGCAGGATTTTTTTAAAATAGCAGTAAAAACTTAATAGAACGGACTTGGGAAGAAATGGAATTTAGTGCAAACCATCTCATCTCCTTGGATCTTCACCAGAGCTCAGTGAAGTTGACATACAACCTGACTTAGCCACATTGGGAACAGAGCCATGGAGATAAATCAGAGGGGTTTCTGGCTCAGAGGCAAGGCGTGGGGAAGGAGTGAGGCCTGCAATTAATGAGAATAATTGGCTTTGGGAGGGATCGTTCTGTAGTGAAAAACCAGTGCAGTGAAACACTGCTGGGCCTGCTCAGCTGTGGCTAAGCAGAGATGTCACCCATTGCTGTCTGAGATGAGAAGCAGCCAGGCTGGGGGAGGGAACAAGAGGGGCATGTAAAGACAAAAGAGGAGGCAGGAAGCCCCGGAAACAGAACCAGGGGGTGGTCACTGACTCTTGACCCAGGCTCAGTTCCCTAACGGGCACTTGAGTGACCAATTTGGTAAGCAGAGACCCTCAGGTCAGAGAACAGGGAAGAGGCACCAATGACACTTGTTCTAAAGCAAAAAATTTACTTGTTTTCCCTCTAGAAAACCAACTAGCTTGCTTGCTTTTTTTCTTTCTTTCTTTCTTTCTTTCTTTCTTTCTTTCTTTCTTTCTTTCTTTCTTTCTTTCTTTCTTTCTTTCTTTCTTTCCTTCCTTCCTTCCTTCTTTCTTTCTTTCCTTTTTTCTTCCCTTCCTTTCTTTCCTTCCTTCCCTTCCTTCCTTTCCTTTCCCTCCCTCCCTCCCTTCCTTCTTTCCTTCCTTCCTTCCTTCCTTCCTTCCTTCCTTCCTTCCTTCCTTCTTCCTTCCTCCCTCTCTCTTTCAGCAATACTGGGGTTTGAAACTCAGGGCCTTACACTTGCTAGGCAAGGGCTCCACCACTTGAGCCACTCCCCCAGTGTCTCCCTTTTGTTGAGACATGTTCTCATAGCCCAGAACTCACTGTAACCCAGGCTGGCCTGGAACTCATGATTCTCCTGCCTCACCTCCCAAGTGCTGTGATGACAGGCATGCACTATCACACCTGGTTTCAATTAGCTAACTTTTTAAAAATAAATTTATTTTTTACAATTTTAGATTTACAGAAAAATTGTGAAGATAGAGTTCCTATAACCCCTCGTCCCCGCCACACACCCCATTTTCCCAGTTATGGACATCTGACATGTATGGGTATGACATCACAGACATCTAACATGTGTAGTATGGTTCCTTTGTGACAATTGATGGGCCATGGTGCCAGGCCTGTGCCCTGGGGGAGTTGAGAGAGTGCTGTGGCAGCTCCCCTGGGAGCAAGAAAAAGACTCTAAGGCTACAGTAAGCTGGGGTGCAGGCCACATAGGGTGCTGGAGAGGCCAAAGGGAGCAGGGACCAGGTCCCTCTTTCCTGCCAGGGCCACCTTCTTTAAACCACAGGCCTGGGCCTTAGGAGCCTCCCCTTCCTCACCACCCCCACATACCACTCTCCCTCCCCATCAAGTTAACTCATCCCCCATCCCTGCCCGGGCTTGTGCAGCAGCTCATCTCTCATCAAGCAGCCCCTCCAGCTCTTTTATCTCTCTTGTACTTCCTGGTGCAGACCGCCATTATCGGCTGGTGGGCCTGCAGCCTGGAAGGCAGGTGTCTTTCCAGGGGCTGGGTCAGTGTCCAGACCCTCCCTTCCTGACCAGTCTCTTCCCGTAGCCATGGCTTCCCAGCCTTGATTACCTGTAACCGGTTTGCATTTCCCTCTGCAGACAGCTGCCCACCTATTCTCAAGTAAACCCCCTGGGATTTCTAGCATCTCCCAACTCAGAGGGTCCCAGCTGTCCCTCAGACCCACCTGGGGGTGGGGCAGCTGCCAAAGGTGCCCCAGACCTGAGCAGCCTGTCTTGGCATGGCCATCTTCCTCTGTGCCTTGTGATAACTGTCCAAGTGTCCTTTTTTCTTAGAGTGCTACAAGAGCAGAAGAGAGGCTCAGAGGAGAAGCACCTTGACCCAAGTCCTGTGGATGGTCAAGTCACCCTGTGATATGCTCTCATGGTTACCTTATATTGTGTCTCCAAGACCTGAGGACCATTGTAAGTTTCTATTTTATTTGTGTGGGAATTGGGGTTGCTGTGCCTGGTGCCTCGCTCCACTGACACGCATTAGATGTGGATATGTATTAGCTCTCATGTGCATTACATGCTCAATAAATCTTGTTAAATTGAGTAATTGACTAAGTCATAGACAGAACATGAATTCATTCATTCTACAATGGGTTGAGTCCTTTGATGGGTCCTGGGGCTAAAAGATAAATAAGATAGAGCGCTCACCCTTAAAGTAATCAGTTTTGTGGGGAAGAAGATGGAAAATACCAGAATGGAGCCATGCCCATGTGCTGTGAGACAACAGAGGCTATAAACCCTTCCTGCAGAGTCAGGACTGAAGAAGGAGTGGCAGTTTATTTCGTGGAGGGCTGGGGGTGGGCAGTGAGGTGGGGGGTCCCTGGACCAAGGGGTTTGCCTGACACACTTGGGGAAGGCCTTGGAGCAGTCTGCTGCAGGCAGGACTTGAAGTCTTGTCCCTTCACCACATAGGAGCCAAAGAGTTTCCACATGTGTCCCTCTGGCGCCAAGTCGTAGAGGTCACATCCAGGGTACAGGTGCTACCGCCTCCTGTCATTTATTTGATGGGCTGCCAGAAACTTCCACGTCGAGGGAGTTCACAGCTGAACCAATTTGAGAGAATCTTCTGAGATTCTTGAGCCAGAAGCTCAAATACAACCTATCCAGTCTGCTTACTGCACTCCCTCATCTTGTAATTCCATTCAAGACATCATCAAGTGGCAAGTCACAGCTCTCTGCAGGCAATTTCACACGGCCTTCCTTCCCCTGCTTCTCGTTCAGTCCCCTCCTCTTCCACAGGGATTTAGCATAATCTCATTGTCCATTGCAGACAGTCCTACTTTCACATTTGTTCAGGTGGAAGGTAGGATGTGCAAGTGCACAGGTGTACACCGAAGGAAGGAAGTCCATGTTCCCGGGGGCCCAGGTGGTCTGTGAGCAGAGGGAATGGGGTGGCTTATAAGTAAGTACCAGAAAGAAAGGTTAATGTGATCAACTGTGTGGAGACTAGGATAATAACTCAGGGGCTCTGTGGTTGGCAGGTTTAAGTTCGGCCTGCTGTGGAGGAGGATCCCATAACAGTGACAAATGTCTTGTTGAAGGGTAATCTCAGTTTAGCTGAGAGAGGCAGGCCACTTGTTCCTCAACATTTGGAGTAGTTTTGAAAGAGGGACCTAGTTTAGACCTAAAAATATTTTGCCTATTTACTTTTTTGTTTTTTTGAGATAGGATCTCACTATGTAGCCCAGGCCAGCCTGGTGATCCTCCTATCTCAGCCTCCTATGTGCTGGGATTACAGGTATGCACCATCACATCATACCCCAGATTTATTTTTTATGTCACCTATATACACAGACACACAGCATCCCTACCCATGGAGGACTCCTGCATCCCTCCCCAGCTGTTTTTACATTGATTTTATTCTTTCTTGGATCTTTACAGAAAATGGCACAGAAATCACAGATTTAGAGTACCTAGAAGTTATTACAGTTCTTACTTCAAACACCTCAAGATCAAGTTTCTTTCTTCTCACCCTATGTACATTATTTACACACAAGGGCTACAGTCTAACATTTCAAACCAACAGAGGACAAAGACAAGAACTTGGTGGGGAGGGGAGAGTCCATGATTGGAACGAAGAAGAAATCAATTTTCAATATAGAATTAAAATTGCAACTCACTGTCTCAGGCCTTTCTCTTGCAAAGTTTTCCCTGCAAAGGTGGGTGCAATGATAGAAGGAAATGTCATGGGGTAGGGGTTGGGGGGTCTCATGCCAGGCCTGGGAATATGGGTACAGCAGGTTCTATAAAGCTATGTGTACCCATTCCTAATGCAAAAGGTTAAGTGCAGGGGGCAGCTGCAGAGAGCCCATTGTTATGGAAGGGCCCACTCCAAAGCGAACAGAAAAAGCTCCAGTCCCTTAGTCCAACATGGCTCCTGCCTTATTGTAGGGGAAGTGCTTCCCAGCATACACCTGGCATGAAGGAATGAGTGCCTGAAGCTTAGTCTGGGCTCACACTGGTCTCTGCCTTGCTTTCTTTTGAGCCTTTTCCCATCCCTCCTTGTGATCCTCTTTGATGAAGATTTATAGCCCTGGCGCACTCCAGACTTGGCTTCTTAAGGATGCCTGGGTCAAGCTGAGGCCAGGTCTGTGATTCCTAGCTGTACTGGGTTTCTCCAAGGCAGGCGCATTGAACCAACAGCTGGCAAGAAGCTCTGGGGAAGGGTGCCTTGCACAGCAAGTCAAGGCCACAAGCAGCATATGGGGAAGAGTCCAGAATGCCTCAGAACACAGGCCCAGGTTCCCAAGGGCTCTGGATAAAGGCTTTGGGCTGCCCAGCGGTGCAGTGAGCCATAGTAGTGAAAAGAAGTGCCCCCTCCCTGCAGGGCACAGGGACTGGACCTGCTACACGTGGTGTTGGCACCTGTGCTGGGGAGGAGCCCATGGGGTAGGCTGGGTGGAGAGAGTACAGGTTCCTGAGGGTGACCACAGCAAAACATGAGACAGAGTGGCAGAGGGGCCTATGTTTAGTCCGGAATCTGGACACCACTGGTGGGGGCGGAAAAGATGTGGAAGTTGCTTCTGGGCCTACAGAGCAGGATATTTACGCAGCAGGCCCATCCCTGCTGAATGGGTAGGCTGAGGCAGGGAGAAGACTTGCTGAGGACTGGGGTGCTCAGGACATTGGATCTGAAGTGCAGGTCCTCATGTCACAGCTGTGGCAGGCCATATGTTTGTAGCAACAGACCGTAGCCATGGGCCTAGCGGAATTCAGGAGGGGCACTGAGCCGGGAAGGAGGGCTCTCTACAGTCAGAGCACAGAGAATAAGAGGCGGCTGTGGACAGCAAGAGTGGCTAAGGGATTGAGTGACCCGGGCTCGAGGAGATGGTTGGGGCAGCAAGAAGGCTTCTGAGGCAGGGATGTTGGTATGAGGAGGAGGATGCTGGAGAGTCAAAACTAGGTCCAGGTTATCTCAGCATGGTCCAAAGCCAAGACCAGAACTGACCTGTGCCTGGAGGTGACGGGGGTAACGGAGGGCCTGTGGAGCAGGGGAGGGTGGCAGAAATCAGGCCTGGCCCTGCCTCAGAGAGAACATCCCAGCACCACAGGCCCCAAGAGGACTAGAGTCTTGGGGCTCCAGGGCCACCACCCCTTGACCTAAGCCATGTCCTCAAGCTGTGGTGGACTGAGCTTCTCAGCTGGCCTGTCTTCATCCATGGCTTCCTCCTCTTCTGGCTTCTCGGCGTTCCGGGCCAGGCTGTCTGGTCCAGACACAGTCCCCAGCACCTTGGTGCTATGCATCTGAGCTTTGGCTCGGAGGGCCGCGATGCTGTTCTCCCTCAGTTCCTCCTGGGAGATGGCTGCCTGGGCATCCGGGCCCCGCTCCTCCTGCTCCATCTTGTCGAGCTTGGGTAGGGCCTGGCGTTCCACCTCGGGCTTCCTCCCCGACTCAGCGGCTGCCTCCAGCGACTTTTTGTGCATCCCTAAAAAGAATTGTTGGTATTCGGGTTTAGAAAAGCGCCTGGGAAAGCCATCTTGAACTGAAAACAGCAAAGATAGAGAGAGGCCAGAATTAAGGACGAGCAGAAAGCCTTACTTCACACACCACAGACACACGAATCCCAGGGCTGGACGAGGGTTAGGGCATGGGCAGGGTGGCTGACGGAGTGGGGTTGCAGGCTAACAGCTGGGAACCAGGCCTACAGAGGACTTCTCCACACCAAACCCTTTGGCACTTGCCCCCTTGGGCACAGCCTGTCTGTCCCTTCAGGACAAAGCACATATTCCTCCATCCCTCTGTCCTGGAATTCCAGACTTTAGAACCCCAAGATAAGCTGATGCTGTTATCAGACAAAGGCCCGGGTGGCGGGCAGGGGAAAATGGCAGGTAAAGGTATTTGGAAGAAAGGAATTCTTTGGGCAAAGCTAGAGTGATGACCAAAGGGACCTAGGGGTCCCCTCAGCCCTCAAGAAGGGGCTGTTACATTCACCATATGCCACCAAGGGAAGGGAGGTAAGGACACAATAGCCACACCCTCCTCACAGGAGGAAAGAACTACAGTCAGGGACTTGTGCAGGATGAGAGCCCTTGGCCTCCAGTAAATAGGTATAAGGGTAGACACCAGGCCCAGACCCTCCCTGCCTGAGTCCCCGGTGTAGACTGGGAGGCCTGCTTTGGAGGGTCCCTCTCCCATTAGACTGCTGGTCTCCCTACCCCAGTGTCTGTCCTCTCTCGCTAACAGAGGGAGCCCGCTCTCCTCACCACAGGGGCAGGGCCCCAAGGAGAGTGCGGGCTCTTACCCAGTAGCCATGGGGCACAGGAGTCCATGATGCCATCCTTGGCTGACTTAAGGATGGACTCTGGCAGGGGGATGGAGTGCCGCACCATGGCCCCATAGAGCCCATACTCCGCCATCACACTGCTCCGGCCCCAGCACTTCTCTCTCTTCCTCCACTTGGCTCTGCGGTTCTGGAACCAGACCTGCCAGTGCAGAAGAGCGGGTGAGGGCCATGCGTTGAGAAGTTCTTGCCCCGAGGTCCTTACCCCTGTCTTCCTGGAGCCAAGATTTCCTCAGCAGGATGTTCTTACCCCAGCTCCTCCACCCCTGGTGTCCCCAGTGTTCCTCAAACTCAGGGGCGTTCAGAAGGAGGAAACCAAATCCTGTGAGAATATGATGTGCAAAATGGGTCCCTTTTCTGTTACAGTCAAAGCAGTTCTAGGGAGATAGACTAGGGATGCCTCTGGGATAGGGCCTTGAAGGTGAGTGGCATCCAGTGTGGCCTGGCTCTTGTAGCTGTCTCACGGGTGTTCACACCTGCCATGCATAAACAGAAGGTGGTGCAAGGGATATATTCTGCAAAAGGACAAACGCCCAGAGTTGATGGACTTGTTCACGGCCCCTCTACCAGAGATCTGGAGGGAGGTTGAAGCCCCAGGCAGTTAAGTGCTCTTGGAGGCTGGTGTCAGGAAGCCAGCTCTGTCCCACTGAGTCCTGCCATGCTGCTTTGGCCCTCCATATACTCTCCCTGCCATTCTGGCCTAACTCTGAATGGAATTTTGGGGGAACTGAGTAGCACCCCTGAGTCAGAGAACAAGTCAAACTTCTACAAGGTGTGAGAGGAGAGCTGGGAGTGTGTGTAACTTCCTGGTGGGAGATTCCAGCCCTGTTCTGGGAGGATTTGTTGGTTTCCCAAAAAGAAGCTTTCCTGAGACTTCAGCAGCTGACAGTATCCCTCAGGGACCAGGCCCACTGAAAACCGGTGCAGGCGCTTCTTGTCTCTTTTTGTCCTTGGGGCAGCACCGATCCTAGGGGAGAGCGCCCCAGGGGAGTGGGCGGGTGGGGTGGGGGGTGGGGCTGCGGAAAATCCATCCTTTTCCATCCATTTCCTGGGTGATTTCCACTCCCTCGCCTCGGGCGCCCCCGCCCTTCCCACAGGGCCCTTCCCCCTCCCGGGCGGCCAAGGTATCAGCTTTTGATGAAAAATTGCTCCGGCTCTATTCAGGAGGCGGCAAAAGAAGAGTCACCCCCAGGGGCAGCTCTGGGCTGATTGAAAAATAAGTTAATTTCAGTTTGAATCGATGGGCCTCAGGCACTGAAATATCACGGGAAATTAAAGCGGCTGCTCTCCCGGGAGCCGAAGCATTGACCCGCACTAATTAATGCTGGGGAGGCAGCGCTCGCCTTGCCGCGAGCCTCTCCCCCTCCCCGAGGGACCCCAAACACTTCTCATTTAACTAATTAGACGGGGAAAATTGGGTGTTAATTTGTTTAGGATTTCCCCCCTCCTCTTCCTCCCCACCCCCACCCCAGCGGCTCCCTCCCCAGCCCCCCGCCCCGCGAGGGGCGCGGGAATGAATGCGGGGCTCGCCGGCAGATGGCTGCCCCGGTCACTCTGCAATCTTCTCCGACTTGATTGCTTGATTAGGTCGTTAGCACATTAAAAAAAAAAATTGCTTGCCGTCTGGCGCTGGCGTGATGAGTGGGACGCGCGGCAGCGCCTGGGTAATTTATCTTTTTATACGGCAAAGAATTTGATTTCAATCTGCAGATATATGGGGCGCCTTTGACACCTGTTTAACATCGCGCCACTGACAGCTTAACCCTTTGCAGCCGGGGCCGCGGGGAGCCGGAGACTGGGGCCCGCGGGGCTACGACTCCTCGCCATCACGCGGTTCCCGCTGCCGCCGCCAGGTGGCGCAGGGAGTACCGGGCGCCACGCGGCAGCCGGAATCTGCCATGGCGCAAGGCGGGCCACAGCCGGTAGGGGGCGCACCGGGTTGGCCCCCGAACAGTCCCGCGGCCACTGGGACGCTGTACCCGGGCTCGGAAACACCGCCACGTCCATGCGCATCTTTAAGTTAACACAAATGCGTGCAGCCCTGTTTTGACATGTTTCCCTTCGCAAATAAAAATGGGAGTCTTCAGATTCCCTGGGTCTCTCCACCTGCACCATGGCCAGCGATGTTACAAAGCCATCACCTGTCCCACCTCAGGTGAAGATGGCTCCAAGGGCAGCACCTCTGCCACCACCGTTTGGCACCTGCAGTTCCTGCTTAGGACTGGGAAGCAAGGCCTCCTTGTAGTCCCTGCTCTGGGTGACCCCTGTCAAGGAAAGGATTTATATAATTTGAAGGCCACCAGATGGCTGTCCTCCACGCACTACAGAGCGGAGAGCTGTAAGCCATGAATGCCGCCTACTCAGCTTTGGTCCTGGCCCGGCCCACGCTGCTGCATTTAGATCTCCTCCTTGTTCTGCAGGATGTGTGCCCACTGTTCACCCCACCCAGGGCCTGCAGCTTGTCTGGGACCTCCTGTCCCATCTCCCTCCCAACCACTTGCTTCAAGCTGCCTTCTCCCAGAGGCAAAATCTAAAAGGACTAATCCACATGCAAGTGTAAATGATTTCTGGTTTCTTCACCCGCAGGGAAGACAATAAAGAAATGGACTCCTGATGACGGAATTCCAGGCACCAAGAATATGAGTAGAAGCAAAGCTATCTGCTCCCTGGCCAGGAGATGACCTCTCCTGTTTGAGTATGGGACATTACAAGGCCACAAGACCACAACCCCTCAGCAGGAACACCTGGGCCAGCCTGGAAGATGTGTTAGAATTTTATATGTAATGCATATACCCTGCACCAGCAGCACCCGATAAAAATCCTCCCATCAGTTTTGATTTCTGTAGCAAAACGTACACAAGCACACTAAGAGGGATAAATAAGCTGTACACTGGTCCGATTGTGGCCACCAAATGGGTTTCCATGCCTAACTTAGGGAAGAACTTTCTGTTTTCAGTGGTTTGGATTTAAGGCTTCTAGGGAAGGCGCTGTGGGCTGTGCAATTACAGAAACACCCCAACCCACCCGGCTCTGAATGCTTGGGAAGCTGCATTCCTTGGTACTGGAGATGGGACAGGGCTGTCAGATGGAAACAGCATTTCAAGAAGTTAAAGAAGGGGAACCATTTCCGGGATCTGTTCTGAGGCTTATAAACAGAGCCATTTTTCTGGATCTCCTAATATGGGCAGCCTTTGCCCACAGACACTCTCCCAGGGGGGCTGGTGCCAGCTGGTTACGCAAACCAAGAAGCATCCTGACCCCCGTTATGGGCTCCCGGAATGCCTGGCTCTCTGCAAAGACCAGATGCTGCTCCAATTTATGGAGGAAACCTGGACAGCCAGAACCATTTTGTTTTAGGACAGTTGGCAGGGAAACTGTGATTGCCTCAGAGGGAGTAGACAGGGATTAGAATGAACCCTAATAGCTTTCTCTCCCCTTCCTGGAAGCAACCAGCAGGTGTGCAGAGCTTACAAGGTTACAAGGAGCATTGAGTTTAGCTAATACCGACCTGGAATTCCCTGCTCTGGAAAACTTCTGTGTGACACATTTCTCAACTTCTTGCAGTCTTTACACTCTTCAAACCAAAAACAAGAGTACACAGGTTCAACCTCGGACTCAAAGTATTTGAAAAAAATTGCACCTGTACTGAACATGTACAGACTCTTTTGTGTGTCATTATTCCCTAAATAGTGCATTATAACACCTAGTTACATTGTACGAGGTATATAAGGAACCTGGAGATTATTTAAAGTATACATAGACTATGTACAAGTACTATTTTTTTTTTTTACTGTGCTAAGACTCAAACCCAGGGCCTCACACACTAGTCAAGTGCTGTGCCACTGAGTTACATCACCAGTTCTCTGCCATTTTATATAAAGGACTTGAGCATCCCTGAGGGGAAGGCTGGAACCAAAGCCCTAAGGTAACTGTATCTACATTTCAGGGTTGTTTTCAAGATTAAATGAAATTAGTGAAAGGGTCTAAAATCAGTGCTTGATACAGAAGGTGCTCAATAAATGCTATTAGGGTTCACCAGAGGCACAGAAAATCAACGGGAGCCTGCCCAGAGGGCAAGTTTATCAATGGCATTACCTGCCCCTCTGATAAATAATAGTAATGACAGCAAGGCTGGCGCTGGTGGCTCATGCCTGTAATCCTAGCTATTCAGGAGGCAGAGATCAAGAGGATTATGGTTCAAAGCCAGTTTGGGCAAATAGTTCATGAGACCCTATCTCAAAAATACTCAACACAAAAAAAGGGCTGACAGAGTGGCAAGAGTGGCTGCCTAGCAAATATGAGGCCCTGAGTTGAAACCCCAGTATCACCAATAAATAAATAAATAAGTAAATAATGACAGCGAGTCCAGTAGGAGGGGGAAAGGACAGAGTTAACTTCCAGGATTCAATTTTTTTTCCAGTGCTGGGGACTGAACCTGGGGTCTTGCACACAGGCAATCGCTCTGTCACTGAGCCATACTCCAGCTCTTGGGCTTAATACTTTAATACAGACAGCTTCTAGTGTCCCCTCTAGGCATCTGGGAAGCCAAACAAATGCCCCCCACAAACTCTCCCTACATTCTAATATAGTCCAGGCCTTCAAAGCCCAAACACCGGTGAACCCCACAGAGCCTGTCCCTGTGACCAGCTCTGGTTCAGAGGCTCTGGCAGCCAGGGGCACATTCATTCCATAGCTTCCCTGAGCTTTTGGCTCCTCACTGCCCTGCGACAGCACCTCCTGGCAGGTGTGCTGAGAAAATTAAATAAAATGGTGGGTGGAAAATGACTGGCATGGAATAAGTTAGAACACGCCCACCTGAGATCTGATGAACTCTGGACAAAGGCACTGTGGAATGAGGCTATGCCTTCCAGCATGCCCCCCACTCCGGCTTTCTCCCCCCCACCCCGGTAGGACTGGGGTTTGAACCTAGGACTTCAACCTTCCAAAAGCAGGCACTCTACCACTTGAGCCATACCTCCAGCCCACTTTTCTCTAGCTATTTTGGAGACAAACTAGTTGGCTGATTGGCTTCAAACTCCAATCCTCCTGATCTCAGCCTCCCAAGTAGCTAGGAGTATGGGTGTGAGCTGCTGGCGCCCAGCTAGGACCCTTTCTATTTGGGCTTTTGGTTCTGAGAAGCCC